TTTTTTTTTCTTCTTCTTTAAAGCAAAGTATTGAGCCTGACCTGGAACTTCCTAAATCAGGGAACTCTGAAGATGGGGCTCTGAGATCTGTCTTAAGGACCACCCCCTCCCCCACCCCCGTTTCGGTGATTCTGATGCAAGCTGAACATTGAGAACCACTGCTCTAGGCAGTGATTTTCAACCTTTTTCATCTCATGGCACATAAACTAATTACTAAAATTCTGAGGCACACCAAAAAATATATTTTTTGCCAATTTGATAAAAAAAAATAGGTATAATTTTGATTCATTTACACTGGATGGCTAATGTTGTGTTGGCTGTTGTCATTTTTTTATTTGACAATCTAAGGGAAAAGAGGTAAGTGCTCCCGACTAAATAGTCAGGTCTTGCATGTTTTAAACATTCCTGCCTCACACCAATCAAAAATCGCCGTTCTAGAACACCAGTGAGATCCTCCATGTCTTGTATCTTTTTTTTTTAGTTTTTCAGTTATAGTTGATTTTACATCATTTCTTAACACACCTACCCCAGATCTTGTTGCATGGTCTGAACTGGGAAGGTACCCCTCCCACCCAAGGACAAGTTTATTTTGATCTCAGTCACCTCAAACATACCAGCAAAGAGCACTCCCAGAAGCTGGTGCTCCCAGGGGTCACTCCCAGTCCCCTCAACTTGTCTTCCTTTCTATTATCCAAATTCCCCTCCTGGAGGAGCGAGTCCTGGCCCCAGCTTCCTCCAACCGTTCAGGTCCCACTCACCGTCCTGGGTCCTGGAGCCCTCGTAGTCGACAGCCTGCCCCTTCTTGAGGATCTTGATGGTGGGGTAGCCGCTCACATCGAACCTGCTGGCCAGCGCTGTCTCTGAGGTCGCGTCTATCTTAGCGACAGGAATGGGAGGGTCGTTCTCTTTCAAGGTACTGGCGATTTTTTCATACTCTGGAGCAAACTGCTTGCAATGTCCGCACCTAAGAATTAGTTTGGGGAAAGAGAAGCAGGTTAACTGTACCTGTGGAGGCTTCATTCCAGCAACGTGCACAAAAAAGGGGCATCAGGAAGGGAACGTCTGCAGTTTAGAGGAGACACAACCGAACCCCACGGGGAGGTCACAGTGGCTGGAAGTCAAACAGATCTAGGTTCGACTTCCTGCTCTGCTTTGGGCACATACTTTCAGTGTCTCTGAAGCCTGTATTTTCATTTATAAGTTTCGCAAAATTTGGTCCAGAGACCCCCTGCAAGGGGCCTGTGAGCTGAAACTCTACAGATACATTTTCTGTCTTTTTCACTCACTCTCAGCAGTTTACAGTGGGGTTTGCCAGAGGCTACACTGACTGAGCATTCTTATGTTAACATGTAATGGGTTACTGTTCCTTAAAAAATGAGCAATTTTTAAATTTCTGTTTTAATTTCTAATATAGTAAATATGATAAACATGACCCACATGAAAGCTATTTGGGGGTCCTCAAATTTTAAATATTAGGGGATTCCCAAGATTAAAAAATTTGAGAACTGCCCTGACTGGGTGGCATCACCCCAATACTACAAGGTTCCGCGGGTTCGATCCCAGGTCAGGGCACATACAAAAATCAACCAATAAATGCATACGTAAGTGGAACAAATCAATGTTTTATTTTTTTTCTCTCTCCCTAAAATCAATAAATAAAAATAATTTAAAAAAAAAGTTTGAGAACTGCTAATCTATAAAATAGGAATAAAACCTCACAGGCCTGTTCAATCCTCACCTGAGGATATTTTTCCCATTGCTTCTCAGAGAGACTGGAAGGGGTAGAGAGAGAGAAGGTTGCCCCGGGCACGCACCCCAACAAGGGCCGGGGATGGAGCCTGCAAACGAGGTACAGAAAGCCCCGTGGCTGGAACTGAACCTCGCAGCCTTCAGACCACAGGCCGACGCTCTAACCACTGAGCCAAACCAGGCGGGGCGCGGGCGGCGGAAATATTTTCTATAAAAAGCCTCACACTATACTTGAACATCCAGCACTGGATACATAGTATATCTTGACTACTATGTTTCCAAAGTGAACCAGGGAGGGCGAGGGAAAGAAGGGATTAGAGGACAAGAGAGGCCGCAGGAAGGACAGAGCGGGACGCGCTGCACCATGCGGGTGAAGACGGGGACCGGAGCGGGCGCCGCTCGGCCTCCCAGGGGTGGCGCGTGTCAGGCCCACGCGTGGGCAGCTGCCCGACCCCTGGCAGCAGGAAGGAGGTGGGTGGCCTTGAAGTGCGTTGGCTGTGTGTCACCAGCACAGGTTTTGGCATCATCAGAGCCTATTAACGCCTCCCTTCCCCAGCTGTAGCTATCAGAGGGGTGTCCGTATTTTACACGGAGGGAGCCGTACTTTGTAGGGGCCGGCTCCGGGGATGCGGTGCTGGCTCCGGGGATGCGGGGCAGGCGGGAGGAGGGCGGGGCTCCTGCAGCCTGAGCTGGAGCCGGAGCCTGAGCCCCTGCAGGCGCCGCTCCGCCCCGCTGGGGCCGAGCACCGGAGCGGGGGCGCGCACCCAGCCTGGAGCCCCCAGAACGTGGGTCCTTACCACGGAGCGTAGAACTCCAGCAGCACGGTGTCCTTGTCGGCCACGAAGTCGTCGAAGTTGGCGTCACTGAGGACGAGCACGCCGTTTTCCTCCTTGACTTCCAGGTCCTCCTCTTCCTCCTCCTCCTCGTCTTCCTCCTCCACGGCCTCTTCTTTACTGGAATCTGAGTGCAAAACACTCACACTGGTTAGGGGACTAACTGGTGACTCTCTGCAAACATTTTCCCGCCCGGCCGGGGGTGGCTCAGCGGTTGAGCGTCGACCTAGGTAGGACCCAGGCCATCTGGTTCGATTCCCCGTCAGAGCACATGCCCAGGTTTTTCCGCTCGATCCCCAGCAGGGGGCGTGCGGGAGGCAGCTGGTCCATGACACTCATCATTGATGTTTCTCCCTCCCTCCCTCTCCTTTCCTCTCTCTAAAATTAATAAAGACATATCTTTAAAAAAAATTTTTCCCCCCTAGAACCCCAATCTTTCAAAGCATATCAGGAGCCCTGAGTAGTCTCTGGGGGCTACCACCAGACAGGGTGGTGACATCTGGATATGCCACCCCAGAGATTCTGCTCTAAGGTTGCATTCTGGGGGGCCACTTAAAATTTCATTTAGAGAGACGTCATGGTTAAAATAAGTCTGGCCCGGCGGGCTTGGTTCAGCGGTTGAGCGTCGACCTGGGATCCAGGCGATCAGGGTTCAATTCCCGGTCAGGGCACATGCCCGGTTGTGGGCTTGATCAATGACTCTCTCATCATTGATGTTTCTGTCTCTCTCTCTCTCCCACTCCTTTCCTCTCTCTGAAATCAATAAAGATATACTTTTTAAAAATAAATAAATAAAATAAAATAAGTCTGAAAACCACAGAGGTAGAGTTGAAAGTCTAAATGCCACAGCAGGCCCCCATTTGGTTCAGTGGTTAGAGCACTGGCCCTTGGATTGAAGGCTCCCGGGCTCCATTCCAGCCAAGGGCGCATACCTCAGTTGTAGATTCGATCCCCCGCCCAGGCTGGCGCATACATGGGAGGCAACCAATTGATGTGTCTCTCTCTCTCCCCTTTCCACTCTCTCAGGATTTAAAAAAAAAAAAAAAAAAAAAAAGC